TCCCCAGCTCTGCAGGGCATTCCCAGTGCCACCTGAGCTCTGCAGGGCATTCCCAGTGCCATTCCCCAGCTCTGCAGGGCATTCCCAGTGCCACCCTGAGCTCTGCAGGGCATTCCCAGTGCCATTCCCTGAGTAATCCCAGTGCCATTGCAGATGGAACATTTGACATTAATGTCAGTGTGTTCCAAGCCATCATCCCAAAAAATATTTGTAAATTATCAGAGGAAAGTTTCCTGACTTTTGGGAAGGGTGCAGCCTTGTTGGGCTGTTTTGGAAGCAGCTTTTGAGGCATATTTTGCTGTGGGGCTCTGGAAGAGCTGTTTTCCTTTCAAACTGCAGGCCAAGGAGTTGCTCCTGTGGCCACTGTGTCACCTTTTAATACACAAATATTCACTGCTGCATCACTGCTACAGGAAATGCTCATTTGGAATTTTTTTCCTCATTCTCCTTTTGTCACATGTTTTTTACTCTCCTGATTTTATTTCTCTATGTGCTGGTCTGGAAACTTGATCTTGGTGCCCTTTTGTGCTTCTGTCACTCCTGCTTTATTCCTTTTGTTTGGTCAGTACCAAACCCATACTCCTCATCTAATTTGTAATATTTAAATAGAGCCATTAATACTTTTTTTCATTAATGTATTAGTGCAAGGTAGAGTCAGCACAAAAAACCAGATTCAATTACTGGTTCAACTATGATTTTTAAAATGTAAATTACAAATTTAAATATGAGGTTCAGGGCTGGGTAGTGATTTGAATTAATTCTGGATTTTTAGGAGAGCCTGTAGGAAGGAGTTCAGTCCCAGCTGCTGCTCTTTCTCCCAGTCAGGATGTGTTGGGCAGAGGGCTGGGATGAGTTTGCTGTACAAGGCAGAGCTTTGGTAAACTGCAAGTTCTTGGCTGTTGAAATGAAGGAGGAGGTTTGTGTGTGAGAGCAGGTCAGGGCTGGAAACTGCTCAGACCTGGGAAGGACTTGGTCAGGAGGGGTTTGGAGATGAGCCAGGCCACGGTCTGTCCACAGCGGTGACAGAAACGAGACCCCTGAGCCTAAAAACGTGTGGCTTTAGCAGCTGTCCTGATCCCAAAGCAGCTTGGTTGAAGTATTCCTTCTCCCTTTTTTCCTGTTAAGCTGGGGAGATCCTTCTTTTCCTGCTTTGGTTCAAAGGCAGGGATTGAGACAGGAAAACAGGGCCTGATCAGTGGAGCTCTGAACCACGGCTGCCCAAGAGCTGCACTTGGAAAAGAGGGATTTTAGTTATCCATGGATAAATCCAGGTGTGCTCACTCCTGAGTGGGGCTCAGCGCCTCCCCAGGGAGTGCCCACACTTGGAAAAGAGGGATTTTAGTTATCCATGGATAAATCCAGGTGTGCTGGCTCAGCACCTGCCCAGGGCGTGCCCCCTCCTGGCTCTGTGTGAGTGACCCTTTCCTGCCCGCAGAGCTACGAGCCGGACGAGCTGACCAAAGAAATGGCCCACCTGGAAGGACTGATGAAGGACCTCAACGCCATCACCACGGCCTGAGCGCCCGCAGCCGCCGCCAGCCTCGGACTCAGCCTTGCAACACAAGGAGTTGTACAGAGGAAACGCTAAAAAAAAAAAAAAAAAAAAAAAAAAAAAAAAAAAAAAAAAAAAAAAAAAAAAAAAAAAAAGAGAGAAAAAAAAATGAACAAACCAGAAAGAGGGACAGCACATGAGAGCAATGGAGGGAGGAGGAGAGGAGCCAGCCCGAGGTGACGCCAGTGTCACCCCTTGTCCTGCAGGGAGCCACGCCGGGTTCCAGCAGCGCCCGGCAGGACGGGCCACGCCAGCCAGGCTGGGATCCAGCAGGACAAAAGCAAAGCAAAGTGGACTCGCCATTAGTTTTTTTCTGGTCAGGTTTTGTCTCAGTGGTGTGATTGCCCTGCCTTTTCAGTGTTGGACATTGGCATTTATGTACAATTTTATTTGTGTTTTTATTTTATCTTTTTTTATAAAAAGGAAAAAAATATTGTAATAAAAAAAAAAAAAAGGGAGAAACTGTTGTTTTCCACAGCCTAGGCTGAGGTTTGACTGCTTGTTCTATTGTGTATGAAAATTCATTGCCAGTGTGGGTTGTTCTGTTCTGTTTTTTATTCTGCGTATAATTACGTCCCCTTCTGGCAGTTAATCCATGGCCTTTTGGGATGCTGCACTGCTCTTTGTAAGCTTTTTTTATTATTTTTATATTATAATTATTAAAAGCCTGACTTTCTCCTCTCATCACTGTGAGATTCCCGGTCTGTTTGAATTGAGGTGTAATTGGAGAGCCTTGTTTGTCGCTTTTTGTGCAGTTTCAATATTTTGAGTGGGGGGAGAAGTAGCTGGGGAAGGGTTGGGGATCCTGGGGAGGGTTCTGTTGTTTTCCTGGCTTTTTCCAGTGACTGGGAAGACTGAAGAACAAGGAAACATCTTCAGCTGTACTGTGTGTCTGGTCACTGAGTGCAGGAGGAGTCTCCTTGAGGAATATTCCGAGAATTCCTCCTGGGAATCAGGGTTCTCCTGGCTAGGTGACCCCACAGGAAGCTTCTTTTGGCAGCTGTTTTGTTGGTGGTGGTTTACAGATGGCTCAGGAGCCTTGGAAGTGCAGAGTGAGAGCTCAGCCTCAGAGAACAGGAGGATTTCCCATTGCCAGCAGCCCAGCTCCTGCCTGGAGAGCACCGGGTGTCCACAGGGTCCTGCACAGCGGCCCTGGCCCGGGCCTCCAGCAGGAATCCTGCTCTGAAAGATTCCTCGGACACAAAACAAGGCAAAAATGTATTTTTTTTACACTTTGGAAACCATGTAAAAATAAACCCAGTACTGGTGACCCAGGTGCTGTTCACAGAGCTGTCTGGAAAGGGAGGAGAGGGGTTTTCCTTCTCTCTTTGTGTGCTTGCCTGGCTCTGTCCTTCTCTGCATTAAAAAAGGGCTGGAGTTCACTTAAATGAGAAATAAAAAAAAGAGAAAGAAACCCCAACCAGCTGCCAATAGCTCCTGTGCGGTTTCACTTCCAGGATAAAAGGAATCCCAAACTTCCTGATGGTTCAGGGCCTGGCATTTGGGAAGCTCAGGCCCCTCTGTGCCTCTGCCAGGAGATTCCCACTGAAGTTGCAAAAAGAATTTCTGTTATCCCCTGGAGCTGAGCTTCCCTGGGAGAAGGGAGAGCAGGGATTGAGGGTGGGGTCACTTCCTTTCTTTTCCTGGACCGTGCTGTCATTTCTGGGCCATTTCCTGCATTTATTTATTACTGAGGGAGGGGAGGGAATTAAATAAATTGTAGCACCATAGGCCACCTGGATAATTAATGTTTGGACTTTAATCCAGTACAATTCAGGGCAAAATAAGCTACAGAACATGTATTTAAAGAATAAAATCCACACCTGGCCTGAAAGGAGGGTGTGGATCTGTTCCTTTGCCTATTTTTTACCTATACCCAAAGAAATGCCATCCTACACACACAGTATTCCCAGCTGGGGGCCTTTGTGAATATTCCTTATGTAGAACACCATGAATGTTAATATTGTCATTGAATTTGGGGAGGGGGAATATTTTTAATGATAAAACAACTGTTCAAAGTTGGTTTTTTAAGGTTAAACTGAAAAAAAAAAAGAAAAAACATTTATTCAATTCAGTGTACAATCTGTATTGCACTTTTTCACATTTTAATGCTACGTTTTCTTACATATCCTGTGATTTTAACTTTGGAACATTGTGTATCCTTGTAGTGTCATAGTCCAGCTGTGCAGTGACAGCTTCCCTCAGACATTTGGGGAAAAGGAACAAACCAAACCTGTACATTGTTCTATGATTCTCATGTAGAAGGATTTCAAGGACTGCTGTAGATGTCGACCTTTCTGTACAATTTTTTTTGCTTTTCTGTAGTATTTGCTGTATCCTCTATGGCCTTTTTTAATAACTTCATGTTTATTATTTTGTATTGGGCATCCAATACACTTTTTTAAATCCAATCAACTCCTGTCCTGCTTGGAGAGTTTGTTTAATTTATTCGTAGTGGGTTCAGTAACCATGTTTGGGGTTTTACTTGCCCTTTTTTCCCTTGCTGTGGGTTGTGTTCTCCAAAGAAACAAGAACAGAACTGTTCTCCCTCCCTCCGGCTTTATGCAGACACTGAACTTGGAGCATTTTCCTGTCTTTCAAAGCTCCACAGTAAAAATATCACCTTTTAATTAGCAAGCAGAGAAGGAAGGGGTTCAAACCAGGGCAAGTACAAATAATAGCCTTAATAAACTGGGAAATCATTGGAAAAACAACACCACGAGCACGGGCTGTCGCACTTTCTGATTCTGGATTGTGTCGTGCAG